TTTGGAGGACTTCATCAAATCCTTATACTAGTCTATCATATTTACTAGTGGATTTCATACACGGGTATTCAATATCGTCATTAAAGCATTGCAATGCATTTGAACTTTATGAATATTTTCAAATATTCCAATTGTTCTTCTATCTCCAATCAATCGTTATGATCGGCTTTCATCCCATTTCATCCACTTTAGGGCTTTCATCCCTTTTCATCCATAGACTTAGTGTATACCATCGCATCACAATATCCTTCTAATACTACAGGATATCTTGTGAAATATAATCCATAGGTCACGGTATATTTCAGATACCGAAGGACCCCTGTCAATGCCACCCAATAATCATGGCCTTGATTACTCGTGAATCTACAAGTTTATTCACAGTAAAAGCATTATTCGGTTGAGTGCATTTCGCAATATACATTAGATTGCTAATTACTTGTGAATATCTCAGTTGTGACACGCTTTCACCCTTATTTTGACCAAGTGTAGACTTGTATCAATACTTCAAACTTTTTAAATATTTTCTCAACAAATGAGATTGGGAAAGTACAATTCCTTTCGATGTTCTAGAGATTTTTATCTCTAGTATTCATTTGCCACACCTAAGTCTTTCATGTCATAATGCTTCGTAAGCACTTTCTTGGCATTTAGCACCACTTTGTGACAATTGTCCATCATCAACATATTGACTACATACAAACACATAGGCATCTTATGTATTTTCCACGAATACATACTTGTCACATTCATTTATTTTGAACTCATTTGACAACACTGTTTTGTAATCCTTTGGTGCCATTGCTTAGGAGCATGTTTCAATCCACATAAGGACTCAACAAGTTTACACACTTTGTGACTTTCACTAGGAGACACTTTCAGGTTGCTCTATATATATCTCTTCTTCTAGCTCACCGTCTAGGAATCCCATTTTCACATCCATTTGGTGAATCTCACGGTTACGTATTGCCACAGCTGCAATTAGTAACCTTATCGAAGTGATTCTAGTCACGGGTGAGTAGTTAAAGAAGTCAAATCCATCTTCCTCCCTATATCTTTTGGCAACCAAACTAACCTTATAGTTATCAATGGATCAATCAGGTTTTAATCCATTCATTCCCTAAGGCTTATTTCCTGAACTTTCCTCCAATATATCAAACTTACATTTTCCTTGTCTTGCAAGGAAACACATTCTCAAATAATATCGCATTCCTTAACTCAATTATGGTACCCTTGTGTACATCTGATTTGTGTACAAGTAAACGAAATGCACTACTATTATTGACGTATCCAATAAATATGCAATCAATTATTTTGGGACCAATCTTTATTTGTTTAGGCTTAGGAACCTTAACCTTTGCCATACACCCACACACTTTTAAGTGTTGGTAGGAAGGATGATGACATTTCCATAATTCATATGAAGTCTCTTCCATTTTCTTGAGAGGTAGTTTAAAGTGTCACTTTATACTAGGTTACCTCCACAATTCCTGAATTAGGAATATATGCGCAAGTAGTAGTGTTGCACCCACACGTCTTGAAATTTTCATATAAGTTCTCAAATATTTATGATAACCCCCATATTTTTGGGTTATTCTTGAACTTAGAGTTCATCAACTCTTTCACAGTTCAATCCATTTATCACTTGGATAATATTCGATTCGAGTGAAAGTCTAAGTACTTTCAAAATAGTTCGTTGCTTCATATGTATGAAAAATCATTTTTCATTCGAAATTGTACTTCAATCAACTATATTAATTTGATCTTCCAAATTAATCAAGGTCATCATTAAGGTCGTCACTAGACCAATAACGTTTTTCCAAGTATAAACCTACTTAATTGGTTCTATCAACTTAATTGGTTCCACGATTGAAGTCAATTTCAATAATGAAGAAGACGAAGCACCTTGATTCACAAGACTTGCAACTTCTCTGAACATATATGATTTATCACATGTGACTTTCACAAAATAATATTATTTATGTCAAATAATAAGGTACATTTCACCTTAGTCACCGAATTCACATTTCAATGAATTAATCAACCATATGTTGACAAGTTGTGTTCTCAAATTTACAATCTTACAAAATGACATACCTCATGGAATTAATTCTAGAGTACTTCATAGTATTCTTCACAATTTTTGCATAAGATCGTTTTTATCATTTACAAATAAATGTCATTCTACAATCATTATTTTTAAGGATATCTGATACCACCGTCGACTATAGACACCATTTGTGCTTTATAATATATTTTCATATTCCAATAATTGGGCAAGCAATTTTCACTTTAAAATAATTAGGACAAAACCACATCTTGTCGCCCTCTTATGCAACTATAATTTTGCATAAGTCATCTCATTTAATTTCATGGAATTAATTGAGACTATCATCATTAACCAATGTTTGTATAATTTTCAAACCAAAATCCATGGACATATACCGGATTTACAACTTCATACCGTATATGTCACTTATTGGATTGATGCATACTATATATGTTACTTATCATATATGCGACTTACCGTATATGGAAGCTTACCAACTTACCGTATTTGACAGCCTACTGTATATAACAGCTTACCGTATTTGGCAGCTTACATACTTACCGTATTTAGCAGCCTACTGTATATGGAAGCCTACCGTATTTGACATCTATGAAATGAACAGACATAATTTTCCATACTCACGGAACATCAAGAGACTATTATCCACATCACAAATCTGTCTTACATGTGGGTATGTATCACGAGGCCACTTTTGCATTAGGATGTTGCCTAATTTTTCTAGTGATTGTTGGAAAATTACACCGATAATTGTGCATATTATATTCACAAAAAACATATCGTTTATTTGCATGAAATCGAAACGTATTCCAACTTACTGAAATTCGATTTAATAAGGCAAAATGAGAATTTACCGATTCCGAAGAATATGAATGTGGAATCTTCTCTTTCGATTCTTGAACGATTGAACTGATTCCGAAGAATATGAAGGTGGAACATTTTCTTTCGATTCTTGAACGATTGAACCTTGCAATACAAATATATAAATTAGATTAATCATTTTCTGAAATCAAATCATAATAAAAGAAAATCAGAAAATGAGGATGAAGATGCAAGTGATGAATTTTTGGTCGAGATAAGTGTTGGACACTTTGTCCTTAAGATGAATTTGCCCAGCATCAGTGCTAACGATTTTTCGACAATCATCTCCTAAAATACAACGACCACGTTGAGCCATAGGAGCACTCCAAATGACTTCGACCAGCGAACTCGAAAGAAATTCCCTCTCTATCATGACCATGATCGTGACTTTGATGCAAATGTTTTATGCAAAACCAAAGTGTCAATTGGAATGAAATGATATGACATTTATGACTTTTCTTGAATGAATAAAATCCAAACATATGGGGTCTATATATATAGTAGTTGAAAAGATATGTCACAAGACACAACCATACCAAGAGACGCATCTCTTAGAATTCATAATGATTGGACATTAATCGTACCCATACCAAGAGTCATGATCTTTTATACGAAAAGTCACATTTTTCCTCTATATATTTCTAGAATATTCTGCAATATTCTATACAATTTTTCAATAATTTCAAGTATTAAGCAGCTTTATATTTGGCTTAATTTCTAATTCACCAAATTAAGAATTCCACTTAAATAATTATGTAAAATTGGTCACAAACAATTTTAGATACAAAATCCCAGCAATTCTTTCCTATTATATATGATCTCAAAACTGTGTTTATTGGGTATATAATCAGAAGTTATCTCATCCATTTGGTTAGGAGAATTTCAGCCATTCCATTGTTTATCAAACACTTTTAGTAGCATATTCCGTTACTTGAGTTCTTTGATGGTATCATGACTTAATTTGTTTTGTAAATGAATTAAGGGTGATACGAGTATTTTCTTTTTTGTTTTGACTTTCAGGATAAAAGTGAGACACATGCTCTTTGGACATGGCATCGGAGTCAGGACATGTACACCGAAGCTGGATATCAGATTTATATACTAAGGCAGCCCAAAAGATGTCCATTTGAATCAAAGGTAATAAAAATTTTTTGGAATGGGAAAGCCGAAAAATGTATTTAACCGTTCTCTGGTGGCCAGTTCTGTGTATGAAATCCGAAGGACATGTGGATCAAAGAAGCTGCAGATGGATTATCAGTTGCATCATCTTGGATATGACCATTATATTTGTGACTTCAGTGTAGAAAGATAGATATAGAACTATGTTACAATGAGAACAAAAGAATTTTTGGCTGATGCTACATCAAACCTGTAAATTTTGAATTTCAAATGGAAATGGAACTTCTGAAAACATATTCCTGCATTCTCTATGTTCTTGTAAAAGATTAACTGTTGAACCACCTCATGTAAAAGCAATTTATTTAAACCTGAAGGGCAGAAGTCTACATGGTTTGGTGAGGTCTATGATACTCGGACTCGGGTATGGGTATCAGGTACGGGTATGTATGTAAGTGTCAGATCTTTTATTTTTTAAAATGTAAGATATGAAAATTTATTTTTTAGACACGAGTACGTGGATACGTTTTTCAAGCTTCAATTTTTTTACTAATTCAATATGTCATTTTGAATAGACAAAATCAATTGTTCACAAAGGAGGAAATGAGTATTGAACAAAAGATTAAGACGAATAAAATATAATTTTGGGGTTTAGTTTTCAATTATATAAGTTAATTATTAAATGTTATATGAAATAGAAAATGGGGGACTTGATTGTAATTTGGATTTAGTGGAGCATTAAGTAGCATTATATGGAATCCATTTTTATTTTATACACGCAGAACCCTAAACTACTGATACAAAGAGGGAAAGAAGGAATAAGGGAAGAAAAGGAAAAGAAAAAAGGAAAAAAAAGAAGAGAAAACTTAGCGTCGTTGCGTTTCTCCACCCTCTCGGAAGTGGTGCTGAGTTTATAGAGTATAAACGGGAAAGAAAAGGAAAAGAAAAAAGAAGAAGAAGCAAAAAACTACGAAGTGTCCATTTGAAAATTGAAAGATTCGACACATATCCCATACCCATACACATGTCGTGTTGAACACGACACAAGTACTCCAACAAACGGACACAGGTACTCCAACCATTTCAAAGAGTCCAAGCATCAAAGGGTGAGGTAGACTATAAAATATTGAATCATATTAACCAAATCAAGAAGATGGAGCTATATTGTTGAATCTTGTTGAGTGCTGCATACTAGCCTAGTCTTCACACTAAAGTTATTTACTTTGCTTCTGGACTTTACATGGCTTGGAATGTAAACGATAGAATGACGAAATATACAGGGAACATGATTGCTTTTATCGACAGGTATGGTGAAGCATTAGATGATTTTGGTGAGTCAGGATCTGCAGTTCCCATGGCCGGTGTTAATCCTCCAGCGCCGAGCAAAGGTGCAGTGGTGGTTCCTGGTGGTGGAGGTGTTGCACTTATAACAGGCATTGTTCCTGGTACCGATGTCCCTCCTGGTGCAACCGACCCTCCTGCAGTGCTGGAAAATTGAAAAAATCCAGGACATAAGAATGTAGGCACGCTGTTAAGGAAAATTAAGTACCAACAAAAAAAGTGAATTAATTAACGGCCAAAAGAGATGATGTTTCACTGCTTAAATGAGATCTGATTATAATTTAGGCATGTGTTCAAGTCAATAACAACTTCTTTGTGAAGTAGTGTTCATATTTCATGTGAAATACAAGAATACATCTTCACAAGAATATTCTAAATGAAAGAAAATGAAATGAAGGGATGAAGATCTCATTTTCCGATCCCGTCTTGTTACTGAATGTCTGATATTCAGTACTAGATTAGACAATATAATGAACAAAATTTTACTTATTTTTCTGCTTAATTGAGATCTGATTATAATTTAGGCATGTGTTCAAGTCAATAACTTCCTCTTTGTGAAGTAATGTTCATTTTTCACGTGACACACAAGAATATCCTAAATGAAAGAAAATGAACAAAATTTTACTTATTTTTCTGCTTATCGTTCAATCCTCCATAATTACCAAACAAGCCATACATAAATCTATACATTATTAAACTCTTGTGCTAAATGAGCAAACAAATTCCTAAGCAGTTCAAGAACATAAGATTCAAGTAATTTGACAGGATGATAAAATAAGTTATAATTGAAGTCAAAAGCATATCCTCCATTTTTCTTGTTTGGAAAAAAAGCAACTTTGGGAAAGTAGTAAAAGATAAGAAAAGAATCCACTATAGTATGATAAAGAAGATTCAAGAACATACCTTGGAGATGATGGATAAACACAGGATCCATAACCTGAATACAAAAATCCCATATCAGAATTAGAAAAAGAAGAAAAACACCAAACATGCACTTACACTGATCGATTGCAGGCCTACTTATAAGTTTTCCAGACTGCCAATCTAGACTTTCGATCGCACATATTGATTCTTATTTCCAATAACCTTACGCAAAAAACGAGAGAGATGATACATACTGGGGTCAGTTTTTGCTATGGTGGCAGTGCCAGAGAAGTAACAGGAGGCAGGGTCATTGTTCCTACGCTGGTAGTAACTGTTGTAGGCGTAGGAGGCATGGGCTTGTATTGTGTTGGGCAAATAGCACAGCCCAGAAGATTGAATGGGTGCACAATCTGCCCCAGCTGCACAGGCAAAGTTTAAACCTGCTAGCATAGCCTGGTCACTGGCGTCACTCCTCACCACACACCACGTGGCTTCCACCACCAAAAAGGGTGGCCTAGTGGTGGTGGTGAACAGAAAGAATAGCAGTGTCACCACCACCGTGGACGGAGGTGCTGCCATTTCTGGTAACTAGAGTGGGTGGGGATGAGGTGGGGGGGAGTTGATTCTCTGTACAGGGTGGTAAGTGAGAATCAAAATGTTCTTTGTTCTTTGTGTTATAGCTGTGTAACTTTTTCTTTTTGGTTCTTTTTTGTGTTGTGCTTTCTCTTTTTGGGTTTGAATGAATTAATCGAGGAATTGATGTATAATCATTTATGGTAGTTTGTGATCGCTCAGAATAATGTTATTTGTCATTAGGTGTGACCATATCTCTGAAACTTATTATTCAATTGAGATTAAATTGTTGATCTTGACATCTAAAAGCAGTAGCATTAATATGAATAGATTGATCGATAGACTGACTCTAATGTCGTCTGAGTTAGTTTCTAATTGCTCTGATTGTATTTCGAAGTTGCAAAAGCCAGTGGACTCAACACTATCGTGGGGGCAAAGTACTCTAATTGTTCTGAATTTTGGAATTGGACGATTATATTAGCCTCATAATTTCTTAAAAGTTCCTCACATTTTAACTACATTAAAAGTCAATCGTTACTTGTAGTCATATTTGTGTCCTCAACTTTTTTCGTCGTATTCTTATTTCAAATTTTCACTAATAAGCACATCTTATTCCTAGTGATAGTTTTCATCCAAAAGTTCTATTAAGATGACATTAAGAAATATATCTGCCTTCCAATCTTTAAATAACATAAAAAATATCAAATACAAAAGTGCGATTAAATATTTGCATCTCATTTTAAATCATGTTTGAATTATGGGTCTCAAGGCTGGATTGCAGGGCACTCCATTTCCATTTAGCTTTTTAATGGATTTGATCTTTCCAAACTTGAGCTGCCTAGCCTATTGTGATCCAGAATATACTACTTGTACATAATGCAATATTTATATCGGTGTTCACCCTCTTCATGAAAGAGGACTCACTTAAGATAAATCATATTTTATTCGAAATTGATTACTCTTCATGTGAGGGAGGTGGACACCACTATTAACACCCTAATGTATGTATAGCATCACCCTTGTGACCCTGCTAAGTAGGGTTTGCGACTAACTAGGGAGAGGGGCAATATGTCCCACCCATCTCTTGTTGAAAAGTTGGGACGAGACTGGAATTCCTATTTGACTCTTACTTTTACTTTTACAATTTTTTATATTTAAACTTAAATAATATCTAAAAATGAGAATAAATAAGTAATCAATAAATGATATAGAAAATGGAGATACTCTCCACCCTATACTTTCATAAAACAAACTCAATATAAAGGATATAAATTAAAGACACCCACCACATAAAAGTTCAGTTGTATAACTGGCAACAAAGTGGTCCAAGTTGCAATGAGACCTCAACTTGCCTAACATATTAAAGTTGTATTGAAAATTTAAAATTGCTTGTTAAAATAAAAGATACTTTTTTAACTGCCATCAACATTTGTACGTCTACCTAATTATCAATTTCAAGTGAAAAGTTGATGAGGAAATTTTTATTTTATGTTTACGACTCGAATTAACAATTTTTATACACAGAACATATAATTCATAAAAATGACACATATAACAGTCGAGTTAAAAAAAAAGTGCAAATTTAAAATCTGAAATTTGACGATTGGAGCTAAGGCTATGTTTGATTGGATACATTTTCCATTTTCCACCAAAATGTGGTGTTTGATTGCTAAATTTTCTTGGGAATTTGATTTCCACATTTTCTCCCACACATGTGCCTTTTCCTTGAAAAGGTGGAAAACCAATTCCAACCATTTTGGTGGGAATTCGGTTTTCCAATTTATTTTTTTTGATTTTTTTTTAATTTTCAGCAATGAAAACAAAATCTATCAACAATTGTAAAAAAAATAAAAAATAAAAAAAATTATCCATTTAATTGATAATTTTCATAAAAAAAAGACTAAACGAAGACCAAAAGATTCAAAATTTCAACATTTTTCACGTGAAAAATTATACTAATCAAACACAATAATTTACAATTCTTAGGAAAACAATTTCTAGGCAATTCAATTCCTTGGAATTCGTTTTCAATTCAATTCAATTCCCTCTTTGCAATCAAACGGACCCTAAACATAATTCACCTCATTATATCAACAATATCATGAATTTGCTTATATAGAGCCTGTTTGGGAGTGATTTTGAGAATTGATTTTTTAACTGTTAGGAGAAAAGTGGGATCTACCTGTGAGAGAAGAAGTCAAATATAACGGCTGAAATAGTAAAATAACAGTCAAAAAATCGATTTTTTGGGAGAAAAAATCGCTCCCAAACAGGGCCATAATGTTTAATTCCTTAAATTTGTTTTATTGAAATTTTTTTTTTATAGTGTCATGGGATGTAAATAAAGAATTCGAGTAGTTGGGCTTCTTGCGCTTTAGAGGGTTTCGGCCCAGCCTTTTTCCAAGTCAACGGTGGATATTAATCTTGAAATGAAAAGTCAACCACCTATCATAAATTGTTGAAATATATACAAAGTGTTGTCTTCTTCAAAGATATCTTTGTCTCACAATGACTCATATCCTTCCTGCCGCAATTCTTTTATTCCTGTCGAATTGAATTTTTTTTTTCAGCGCAATATAATTGGTATTATGTTGTATATTTTGTGTTGTATAATTTGTGAATATGTCGCTTCACAATTCTTCATTATCAACAGTTAATTGATGCTCGCATACACGAATGAATCGCGTATATTACTCGTCTCGTTGAGTTTTGATCCTAAATTTTGTTCTTCTATTGATTTTCATGTAGATTTCAATGTATTTAGTGTTTATATTCCTGTTTTCCTTAAATGGTTGTAACGTGGAAACCTAAGGAAAAAGGATAGAGAAAGGGCTTAGGCTCGGGCCGGTGGCAAAAGCAAGTCTAAAGATGATCCATTCTGGGGAAAGAAAATATTAGTGAGTTTAGTTATTTTTTTTTCCCCTTTATTACTAATTGTTGACACATAAAAATTCAGCCCAAATCAAACGGCCAAAGGAATGAAGCCCAATTGCAGGATCCCCAAATCAGATAGCCCAAAGAATGAAGTCCAATCAAACAATTCAAGATGAAGGTCCAAATAGGGAGGCCCAAGAACGCAGTGACGCCATCGCCCAAGTTTGCAAGTCGCCCAGAATCTGAGCGAATAGAGTGCCATACAGTCGCCTAGAGCTGTTACCCTATTCTCGCCCAAATATTCAAGTCGCCCAAGGTCTTAACAAACATAAAGCGTTGTGGTTATCAAGAAGTGCAGTTATCAAAGCAGTTATTAAAGCAGTCTTATCACGTTTCACGATTCAAGAAATTCAATCGAAAACGGTTGAACGACGAAGAATAATGGTAGCAGTTAAAAAAAGGCAGTTTTCATGACAAGTTGGCCATTATGAGGAAAGTGGACAGTTGCAGAACGATCAAGCAGTTTTTAGGCAGTTGATCACAAAAAGATCATCCATGGAGTATAAAAGGGAGAAAAGACATAGAGCAAAGGACCGAATCAAAAACTCTCGAACAGAGAACATGTAATTTTAATTTCCTTAGTTTAAGATTTAAACACTTTTTTTCAGTAACTCGTGTGCTTGCGCCCCTTGGAGGCATTTTGTTTTTGATTTCCAATTGTAAAGTCATCGCCAATAAAAGAACACCCCTTTTTGGGACTTTGTCTCAAGAGGTTTGTCCCTTAAACAATCGTCTGATCCCTTTTAATTGTTAGCGACTAACCCGCGCGAAACAATTTGGCACGCCCAGTGGGACAGTGGTGTTTGGTGTTGAAAGTACAAAAGGTGAAACAATATGCCTCAGAGATCCGATAAGGAAGCAGCAAGTCAGGGATGAGTCCAGTCTGTGATCGAGCGATATGAGGAACAGCATGCCTCTCCACGAACAGATGGATAGAATTAGAGCAGTAACAGTCGTTACGAACCAATGACGGAGTTGAGTTCTCGAACCATGCATGCATTATTTGGAGAACTCACACAAGACGTTGTTGAACAGGTAAATCTTCGAAGTATTCATAATATGGAAAGATTTACCCAAAATGGGAATGCACACTATGACAACATGGCCAAACAACTAAACACTTTGAAAGGGGTAGAACCACTTTCTGGTCCCTCTACTTCAAACCAAGGGGGTACTGCAGTGCCAAATCAGAACAATGGTAGTGGTATAACTAACTTGGGGGGTAATCCAAACATAAGAGATAATGTCCTAAACAATGGACAGAATACTCCACGTGTTAATAAGGGAGTAGATGTTCAGGCTAATGGTAATGACCCTAATCATGGTAACTTTGTTGCCAATCAAGGACCAAACATCAGGCCTCATGCAAATCAACCGGTTAACCAGCCTGTAGGAATTCCATATGATCCCAATGTCATGTTGAGGAATTAGATTATGAAAATCGTACAGGATCAGATGGCTTTTGGGGTGCGTCCCGTCATTAGGCCAACGTACACAAAGCCATATCCTGATTGGGTAGACCAAGCATATCCATGGCCTAGAGGGTACAAAGTGCTAGAATTCTCACTGTTTATCGGTTTAGGAGAGGTGTCTACTCTAGAACACATAGGGCGATTCACATTGCAAAGTGGTGATGTAACCGATTACCATAAAATGAGGGTTTTCCCTAGTTCGTTAACAGGAGTAGCTTTCTCCTGGTTCATCAACTTGCCAGCGAACTCTGTTCAAACATGGCAACAATTGGAACAGTTATTTCACGCTCAATTTTATAAAACTGAGTCTGAAGTCACTTTGGCTGATTTGGCGAATCTACGTCAAATGCCAAACGAATGGGCAGAAAGTTTTCTCCAAAGGTTCAAGATAACAAGAAGCAATTGTTTTGTACCTCTGCTCGAAAAAGAATTTGTCAAAATCGCTCAGAGCAGTTTGAGCTTTGATTTAAAAAAGAAATTCCAGGACAAGGAATTTCTTGACCTTTTCCAGTTGAGTGCGAATGTGATTAGGTATGAACGACTGATAAGAGAAGAAGAATAGATGAAAAATTCTAGTAAAGAGACTTATTACAAAGACCCAAATTTTGATGTTCATACCATCAGTGACGAGTCATATGACCAGGCCGAAATGTGTTTGGCCGAATTGGTCAAAGGAGATACGTATACTTGTCCTATAATGGCCAAGCCTAGACCATCGGGCAAAGATGAGCCCATAAACGATGGAAACATAAAGGCTAGAACGTTCTCGTTCGATGTAATCAAAGCTGACCTTATTTTTGATAAATTATATAGGGATAAGCAGATAAAGTTGAGCGAT